ACAGTGGGATGGATGTAAAGGAACAAGGGAAACTGGCAGGGGACACAGCTCCTTGGCATGCGGGGATCAAGTGTTTCCTCCGCTTCCAGACTTCCCTCCTCATGTATCCACATCTGTTCTGGGTGGTCTTTTCCCATCAAGTCCCATTCTTGCTGGACTGCCTGATCCACTCCTTAGTCTCCACTTCAGATGTGTGCCTTCATGTCTCCAACCCTGACCTTGACTCAAGTTCCCATGGGGACCTCAAACTCAAACATGTCCAAAACTGAACTGTGTCACATCCACTGTTAAAAGGGCTGCAACTTGGCCAGGCACAGTGGCTCACACCTATAGTCCCAGCACATGATCGCTTGAGTCCAGGAGTTCAAGACCAGCCTAGGCAACGTAGCAAGAACTCATCAATACAAAAATAAAAATTTAGCCAGGCATGGTGGCGCATACCTGAAGTCCTACCTACTCAGGAGGCTGAGGTGGGAGGATTGCCTGAACCCAGGAGGTTGAGGCTGTGGTGAGCTGTCATCGTGCCACTCCACTCCAGCCTGGGCAAAAATGAGACCCAACTAAAAAGGGGGGGGGGCAGGGCAGTGGGGGTAGCTACAACCATCCACTTGGCTAACCTAGCCTGATACACAGGCGTGGGGCCAGCTTAAGTATGCTCAGGACCCATGCTTGGTTTAATGCTGTGATGTCCTGGGCTTGATGCTTGAACAGGGAGCCCTGGAACCCACAGAGCATGTAGCCAGTACTGCTTGGGAGTCAGCTTGACGCCTCTCTGTCACACTCATATCCGATCAGTCACCAGGTCCCACCTCCTATCACCTCTCTCCAGTGTTCCTCTCCAAAGCTGGAGCTGGTCAGGCACCACCCGGACTCTTGGGGAAATCTACTGTTTATACCTGCATCTTCCTCCAGCCCATCTCTTCCTGGTGTGGTTTTGCTTTGGTGTCATACAGTTGTATCCCAGACCTATGTTAAGTCTTCTGTTGCCCCTCCCTGCCTGCAGGGTAGCAGCGTCCTCCTTGCTGCATCGTTGGGCACGACCATGTCTCACCCATTTTTTCCGTGTTCCCATCCTTGTCCTCCTCACCTTCAACATTAGCTTCCCAGAGACGATGTGCACTCCACCTCCTTGCCATTCCCCCTGCCAGCACTGCCCTTCCTTGTTCCTTGCCTGGCTGACTCCTGCCCATCCTTCCAGAGCCCTTAGCCCTCAGCTTCTCTGAGATGCCTCCTTGGATGCCCCTGCCTGCTGGGTGAGCTGCCCTCCTCTCCCATGCCCTCCCATCTGTGCGTGGCACCCCTGGCACTTGTCACGTTGAAGGACCTGCTGGGGACCCTGGCTGTCTGCCTGGCTGGCCTGTGCCCAGGCGCCTTGGGGGCAGATGCTCTGTCTTACGCATGCACTCACCTGGATGTAGTGAGTATTCGGGAAAGACGACAGTGCACATGAATTGACAATGAAGCATGAGGACTGCGTCTGGGCCTGAACTCTACCCTTGCTCTCTTTTCCATGGGCCCAGAGTCCACGCTGGCTAAGACTGAAGTCATCCCGCTGCTGTGCAGTGTGTGCAGGTGGAAGCGGCTCCCTTCTGCGAGGGTGTCACTGCCTTCTGAGAGGCCATCAAGATGTTGACTCAGCTCTGGAGTGTCCGCGGTGCCTATGCACCCTCAGGTGCTGCCCCGTGCTGTGCATGACCCTCACTCCTTATCCACAGTCCGTTAGAGCATCTCCTGAGGCCATCACGTTGCCTTCTGCAGGCCTTCCCTGCATCTCCACCAGCTGCATCCCCTTGGTGACGCTGCCTGTCTTGCCGCCTCTGTGAGCCTCCAAGGGCATCCTCCTTGCCCTCCCCATCCTCTCAGCAGGACCACACCTGTCCCACCTCTGGGGAAGGCATGTCTTCTCGGTATGAACCCTGACATAGTTTCATGTGATGTGGCCTGGCTCCAGGGCTGTCCTTCTCTGTGGTGCTGTTTCCCACCTCTTGAAGACTTGGTTTTCCTGTGTCACCTGTCTCCTCTGGGGTCCCTGGTCTTTGGCCCGCTTGGCCTTTGTTCCTCTGCTGACATCTGTCTTCCCCAGATCGGGGAGCAGGAGAGATCAGAACACTGCTTTCCTCCAACAGCTTGTGATTCCTTGCCTCAGGTTCTCTTTCCTTTCTTCTCCTGGACTCAGCATGGACATGCACGCACTGCATCATCTTGGGACTGGCCACTGCCTGCTGACCAGCGTGCTGTCCGGGGCCCATCTTGAGTCAGGAAGGCCCGACCTGCTCAGTGGAGCTCCGCGAGGCTACATGGCCTCTCTCTCACTACCCATGGTGTCCTTCCCTCTTCAAGGTCCTACGTGTGTTGCCCAGGACAGCCCATGTCCCTGGTGCCCTCCACAGCTGCCCACATTGAACGACTGTGGCCTTGTGGCCTTGATTGGCCTCTGGGATGAGGACTGTCAGGTCTACACCTCCAGGCTGCATGACCTGATGTCCAGCCCACATTTCCAGCTGCCTCGGAGGTCGGTGGCACTTTTGTTCAGCTTAGACTCAGCATGTGGAGAACTCCCCCCACCCCCTTCCCTGTTAACAGCTGCCATTCAGTCAGCGCAAGACTGGGGACAGATTCAACTAGGTCTTTATCTATCTGTCTATTTATCTACCTATCTGTCCAGCTATCTGTCTGTCTGTCTACATTTTCTAGAGATGAAGTCTTGCTATGTTGCCCAGCCGGGTCTTGAACTCCTGGGCTCAAGCAGTCCACTTGCCTCAGCCTCCCAAAGTGCTCGGGTGACAGGCATGAGCCACCAGGCGTGGTCTCTTGACATATCTTTTTAACCTGTCCTTATTCATCCCCCCTAGCTTAGAGCCTCACCCTTCACCCCTACATTACCACAACATCCCTGCCAGCCACTCGTTCCTCTTCCTCGCTTGCCTTCACGTGCCCACGCATTTACCTCCTGGAACATGTCATTCATGCTCAGAACCTCCACGACTCCCAGCTAAACAACGTGAGGGCTAGAATTGGTCTCTGCTGTCCATAAGCTTCACAGCCTGGCCCCGCTTTTCCAGGTCCAACCTCGTCCGCCCCACTTCCATATAGCCCAGGAACCCGGTCCCTCCTCCCCTGAACTCCACAGTGTGGGTTGCCGATAGCCTAGACACACAGAGTGCTCTGTCACACTGAACTGTCTCTTGCTGATGTGGACACAGGTCACAGCTGAGGTCGCTGGAGGATGAGGACTCTGTCCTGTCTTCTATATTCCTGTTTATGGTATTAGTGTTTAAGCATAAAGTGCTTAATACATGCCTATTCAGTGAATGAGTTTCTTGAAGCTGTAGAAGTATGTGGGTTGGACAGTGCCCATTTCTGCCCATTTCCTTCATGGTCTCTTGATGTACAAGATTATTACCTGCAATGTCCTTCAGCCACAGTCTAGGGCAGGGGTTCCCACAGTTTGTGGTCTCAGGATCTCTTTACACTTTTAAAAAATTACTGAGGATCTCAAAGAGGTTTTGTTTCTGCAGGTGATTTCTGTTGTGTTTTTTTTTTTCAAATTGTGGGGTACAATTCAGGGTTTGGTTATACAAACGTTCATCATGCAGGTACCCCTGCTGATGAGGTGTGTCCCCCCAGTCATATTTCCACCACTGTCATTCCCACTTCCCCCCCTACTGCAGTTTCCAACTACTGTCAATCCTTTTCTTATACTATTACAGTAGTTGTTCATGGTCCACTTATGAATGAGAACATGTTATACTCGGTTCTTTGTTTCTGTGAAAGATCACTCAGTATTATAGACTTTCATTCCATCCAGGTTGCTGCAAAATTCATGATTTTGTTCTTTATGGCTGCATAATATTCCATCGTGTATGTGTACCACATTTTTTTTTATGCAGTCCTCTTTTGATGGGCAGCACAGTTAGGTCCATGTTCTTGCTATTGTGAGCAAGGCTTCTACAGGTGGTTTCTGTGGGTTATATCCGTTGATGGTTACCATATGAGAGATTAAAACAGGATATTTCAGGCATAATATTGCACACACATTCACGCCTTCAAGATGGTGCCATCATGTATGGTCATGTAGATGGCACACTCATGATACTAGGGAGTAAAAAAGGCAGATGACATCTGAGTGTTATATTGAAAATCCAGACCCAGGAAGGACTCTGGGGACCCTCCCAGGACTCCCGAGCCCCCACATTGACAACTGCAGCCTAGGATAATGTTAGCATTAGTCAGTGGAGCTACAAGTAACAAAGTGTCAGCCTGTCCAGGCTCTTTTCATATAAAAGAACGAATACACACAAAGTCGTCCTCAGTAACTGAGGATTGGCCCCAGAACCCCAGTGGATGCCAGATTCCACAGTGCCCAGTCCTTTGTGTACAGTGGGGTGGTGTCTGCGTTTAGCCTGTGCATGTCCTCCTGGGTAGTTCAACCCATCTCTAGTTGAGTTATGACACCTACACGATGTCAATGCCCTGCAAGTGGTTGTCGCATTGCACTGTCTAGGGAGTAATGGCAAGAAGAAAGTCTGTGTGTTCAGTACAGATGCAACCATCCTTTTTTCCTCCTGAGTACTTTCAGTCTGCAGTGATTGAATCCACGGATGTGGAACCCACAGATATGGAGGGCCGACTGTATAAGGAAACCCAGTAATAAATTACTAATGATAAGGGGACCCCACTGTAGGATGCGTGTGGCAGTGGGGCTGCAAAGGCAGAGAGGGAAGATGTTCTGCAGTGTCCCCAGAAGCTTGCACGCTATCCCTCTGAGCACAGCAGGTCCACACCGAGAACCTCAGCTCCGTGTGACGGCAGCCTGTGGAAAGTGTACCAGAGACCAGCTCAGCCTGCTTGAGAGATGACTCAGATGTCATGCCTTTTTTACTCCCGAGCCTCATGAGCATACCGTCTACATGATCATAAGTGACAGCACCATCTCGAAGGTGTGAGCGTGTGTGCAGTCTTATACTTGAAACATCCTGTTTTAACCTCTTATAATGGTAATGACCAAATGTGTGAGAGAGGTCATAGCTTCCCATGTCGCGTCTTATCCCCAGCAAAGCTCCAATGGCCCTGTGAAGAAGTCCATGCGCGAGAAGGCCGTGGAACGACGGAACGTGAACAAGGAGCACAACAGCAACTTCAAGGCCGGGTACATCCCCATTGATGAAGACCGGCTCCACAGGACAGGGCTGCGTGGGCGGAAGGGCAGCCTGGCTGTCTGCGTGGTCGTGCTCCTGTTCATCCTGGCAGTGATCAACCTCATCGTGAGTATGGCAGATGCGTTTAAGTGCCCTGGGGAGGGGCCCCTCTGCTTGCAGGGAAGGCTTGGGTTTTGTGTCTGATTTCCTTGGAGCTGTTTTATTTTCTCCTTTTCTATACATGTTTTATCTCTTCACTGAGTTTTAATGAATGTTTTGTATACAAAAAACCTAGTAAGCTGGTATTTCCAAGTATTCATTTCATTTAGGAAAGAATGTTCTGGCTTCCTCCCTTTCATGGATGTACCTTTTAATCAGGGCAGAATTGTGAGTCTCCCAGCTTGCTCAGCCAATGAGACATGACACTTTATGTTTGTTTTTGTTTTTTGAGTCAGAGTCTCACTCTGTCGCCTAGGCTAGAGTGCAGTGGCATGCTCACGGCCACCACAGCCTAGACCTGCTGGGCTCAGGTGATCTTTCTGCTTCAGCCTTCCAAGTAGCTGGAACTACAGGTGTGTGCTACCATGCCTGGTTTATTTTTTTTATTTACTGTGTAGAGACGAGGTCTTGCCAGGTTGCTCAGGCTGGTCTCAAATCCCTGGGCTCAGGCAGTCCTCTTGCCTTGGCCTCCCAAAGTGCTGGCATTACAGACATGAACCATTGTACCTGGCATGAGACTCTTAATAAGGGTATAGTCAACTCAGTAGAAGATAACTCTGCCAACATTACTTTATTGCTTTCACCTCTCCTGAAAAATATAATTTCTGTTGCCGTTTAACTTTTCCTGCATTCAATGTTGCTTCCTCAGCTAGATTTTTTTAGCTGTAAGCCCTCAATGGTGGTGAAGGGTTGTATCCTACAGTCCCAAGTCCCTGTTGTCATAGTTCTCACTGGAGTGCTAAGGACCTGACGGGTTGCCTTTCCAAAAACATTTGCTGTTCTGTAAAGAAAACCTTTTAATCTGGGTTTGTAACTATCTGAGGTCACATTTGAACACCCCTGGCACATGTGTGAGCAGACACTTTCAGGGGCGTGTGACTGGTGGACCCAAGACTGGTCGTGAGCAGGGGCTGCAGCACCTCGAGTGTGATTCTCTGGGTGTTGTTCGACATCTGGTGCTCTCAGGGCAACCTTTTTATATTTAAGTGTATCCACACATTTGTGTCTCCTTCCTCCTTTAAATTGGAAGGAGCTGCTACTACTCAGTTCAGAGTAGATACTATAGATAGCTTTTCTAGGAGCACAAATTCTGAATGTATTTTATTTTATAAATGTGTTTTACTGGAGACTTCTGGTCAAGACAGCAGAATACACACATTTTTATCCCCCTCTCTGAAAAGCTCATCCCAAAATGACAATGTCAAGAAGAGAAATATCTTTGAAGAAAGTAGGAAGGTTAGCCAGGCATGGTAGCCCGCACCTGTAGTTCCAGCTACTTGGAAGGCTGAAGCAGAAGGATCGCCTGAACCCAGCAGATGGAGGCTGAGGTGGCCATAAGCGTGCCACTGCACTCCAGCCTGGACGACAGAGTGAGACTCCAACAGCCACAAAAAAAAAAAAAAAAAAATGAGAAGGGACTAAAGTCCTAAACCATAATATCTGAGGACAAAAATTAGGAGGTAACTGATCAGAGAAGAGACGTTACTTGTGTTGGGGCTGCAGGAGCACCAGTGGAGGTACCTTGTAGAACCCTGAACAGCCCAGGGATTGAAAGTGCAGGTCCTTGGAAAGAAAGAGAAGGCAGAAACTGAACACAGAAAACTTGTTTAAAGATCTGTATGAAGAGAAAAGAGAGGCCCAGACCTCATCCCTTCCTGCTGGCAGCTAGACAACGTCCCCTAGACCCCACACTGAGCTGATAGGTCTCTGCATAGGCCGAACCAGAGAGACCTCCTCAACCCCACCCTCCTCCTGCCTGAGGACACTACACAGAGGAGGGTGGGGTTGGGTTTCCTGCTGAAAGCAGGAAGTTTGAGCCTGAGACTCCCTTTCCAGTGCTCCCTTATCCCCATCCTCCATCTCAGCTCCTTGGCAGCAGGCAAGAGACAAGGAGCCTTCTCTGGAGAAACTGAGGCACACAGAGACGAGTTCTAGACACATTAGACGAGCCCCAGAAAAAGCCATCTCATCTCCCTGTGGTGATGCCTGTCAGGCACCCACCCCACCCCCCATGGAGAACGGTCTGTGAACGTCACAGCCTTGCTGTTAGGTGAGAGCACTGAGCCAGGGGCTATTGGATGGTGGGGGAGAGCCCCAAGAATTGGAAGATGATAGAAACCAAAACACTCAAACCATGGAGAAAGTAGAGACCCAGGAGATGGAAAAGGCTGTTAAAACTTCAGAAATTCTAAATTCAGCATTCTCAGAGAAATAAGAGGTTACATCCATGAAACAGGAATAACAAGTCATTTAAAATGAGCAGTTAAGAACTCACAGGAATGCATATACACACACAGGGATGTATGGATGACATAAAGGATAGATAGATGACAGTAGGTAGATAGTTTGGTAGATAGATATAGATAGACAGATAGGTGATAGATGGATAGATGAATAGATGACATAGATGGTAGGTAGGTAGGTAGGCAGGCAGGTAGATGATGGATGGATGGATGGATGGATGCAGGGATAGATAGATAGGTGATAGATGACTGATATATAATAAGTAGGTAGGTGGAGAGATAGATAGGTATAGATAGATATGATAGATGGATAGATTATACAGATAGATGACATAGGTGATGGATGATGGATTGATGGATAGATGATATAGACAGATGATGGATAGATGATAAATAGAAGAAAAATGGATGGATGGATAGATAATAGATGATATAGATAGATGACAGATGATAGATGATATAGACAGATGATAGGTAATATAGATGATAGATGGATGATTGATCAATGATATAGCTAGATGATAGATAGATAGATGATATAGACAGGTAGATGTTTTTTTTTCTTAAGTTTTTTATTTTAAAGATGTGGAGTATAATTCAGGGGGTAGATGATATTGATAGATGATAGATGGATGATAGAAGGATGGATAGATAGCTATTGGAAGATAAAGAAAAGAAATTCTTCCAGAAATTTCAACAAGGTTAATCAAATCCTGGAGCTCTAACAAGCTGTAAATGGGAATTCCAGGCCAGGTGCGGTGGTTCAAGCCTATAATCCCAGCACTTTGGGAGGCGGAGGCAAGAGAATTGCCTGAGCTCAGGGGTTTGAGACCAGCCTGGGCAACTTGGTGAAAACTCATCTCTACGATAAATCAAAAAATAAGCCGGGCATGGTAGCACACACCTGTAATTCCAGCTACTTGGAAGGCTAAGGTGGAAGGATCGTCTGAGTCCAGCAGGTCGAGGCTGCAGTGGCCATGAGCATGTCACTGCACTGCAGCCTGGGCGACAGAGTAAGACTCAAACTCAAAAACAAACAAACAAACAAACAAACAAAAAAACAAATGGGAGTTCCAGAAAGAATGGGGAAAACACTGTGAAGAAGTAGTCAAATAACTACCTAGAGCAAATGTCCTAGAACAGACTGAAAACTACCCTTCCTGGTCCAGCAGAATGCATGAATAAAATTCACACCAAGGGCATAGTTGGGAAATTTAAGAAAGCAGGAATAAAGAAAAGATCTGAGTATCTTCCAAAAGGGAAACCTAGATTCTGTATGCAGAATACAAACCAGAGTGGCCTGGGCCTCCTAAGAGCAGTCAAGCAATGGCTTTTGAAATTCAGATAGAAGACAACCTAAAATCGAGAAGCGTATACCTGGCCAGTTCATTACTCAATGTGAGGGACATTTTTTTGCCATGCACAGACTCCAGAAACTGAATTCTCGTGCATGTCTTCCATGGAGGCCACAGGAGGCCGTGCTCGGTGGGGTGAGAGCACCGAGCCTAGAGAGGTGGAGACGGGGCAAGAAGCTGGTGACCAGCACAGGAGGGTCAAGGGAGCTCCGGCAGGTGAGGGAGAAGCTGGGAGGCGTGGCTGTGCAGGCCCTGGAAGCCCCCACCCAGATGGGGCAGGAAGCCAGGCTCTAGGGAGGCCTCCATGAGCTGACGCGTTACCTGAGAGGCTCAGACCTGCGGAATATGTTACTGAGGGACTTTACAGAAATGTGGGAGATTGGAGACTTATTTAGATTTTCAAAGAAACAAAGCAAATTAAAGAAAGAGGTATTTAGCTCTGAGAGAGACAAAGAACAGGAAGGGAACTGCCTTCAGAGTCTGGGGTATGGCCTAAGTGAAGGTACCCACGTGTCCTGATGCTGAAAACACTGAATGGGGATTAACCAGAACTTGGGGCTGGAGTTGGGAGAGAGAGGAATAAAGAAGTAACCGTTCTCATCTGTTGAAATAGGAAGTCAGCAGGTAAAACTTAGAACAAAAGAGCAGCACTATACATTCATGATTTAGAAATATGGAAATGAAGCCTAGTTGAAACGGCCAAGGTTGTTGAGAGTGGTTATCGCTGGAGAGTGGGCTCTGGGAGGATGGAAGGGTAAGAACGGCTCTTTTTATTACAGGCCTCTTCACACATCTTGACCTTTAGCTGTTTGCCTGTAATAACATGGAGAAAAAAAAGTGGGTTTTGTTTCTAATAGGACCAGTTGGTGTGTTCCTCTCACTGACTGAGCATCTTGGGAGGACCTTGCTGTCCTGACAGTCAAACTTTCTGGGTGTTTTCCAGTTTCATGTAGGGCTCACTGCTTGTCACAGTGGCCTATCTTCCTTTCAGATCACACTTGTCATCTGGGCCGTGATTCGCATTGGACCAAACGGCTGTGATAGCATGGAGTTTCATGAGAGCGGTCTGCTTCGATTCAAGCAGGTATCCGACATGGGCGTCATCCATCCTCTGTACAAGAGCACAGTAGGAGGAAGGCGGAATGAAAACCTGGTCATCACCGGCAACAACCAGCCCGTAAGTTACCGTGGGACCAGAGTGCACGTGACTTGGGAAGGCATTGGAGGAAAGTCCTCACAAAACCTAGGGTTGGTGATTAGACATGGATCATTTCTTTAGAAAAATTGAATATGCCATAAATATATGTATGAATATATTTTAAAATATATCCATAAATATTAAACATTTATTTAAAGTATAGCTAATAATTGAAGTTAGTCGCTTTCTTGGATTTTTTTTTTTTTTTTGAGTTGGGGTCTCACTCTGTCACCCAGACTGGAGTGCAGTGGCCGCTCCCGGCCACCGCAGCCTCGACCTGCTGGGCTCTGGTGATCCTTCTGCCTCAGCCTTTCAAGTAACCGGGAC